TGAGCGGAGTTGTACTGCAGAGAAGGGGAGAGGGCATGTCTAACCAGTTGTTATATTACTGAGTGTAGAACCAGATTAAGGGCAACTATGCCCTAAGCACAGCCCAACAGTGGTGCCCTCCTCAGCCCCTCCATTTCTTAAGGTACAAGACATAAAGATGCAGTAAGTGCTGAAAGTGAAATATGAATTTGAAATATATGGACAAGTATATATTTGTTTTAAAGTGCCAATATTCTTTAAGAGTATAATAGCTAAGGGAGAACTCCGTGGTGCCCACAGCACATGCTTATTTTGCTAAATGGCAAATCAAGCCCTGACTGACAATACTGGGTTTAACCCTGATGCCATTTAGACTGCATAGTCACATTTAGACACCCAGCACTACTGCTGAAACAGGAAAGTGGAGGTAAGACTATAAAAATGGAGGTTGGTAGTACAATGTCTATATAACTGCACATCTATTTCTGTTGCTCCAGCTAAGCTTCAACTTTGTCCTACAGCTACCATTCTGGTCCTTATTTGGCACTTCCATGTACTGGAGTCCTTACCTAGTCCAGTGCTTCCTATCAATATTCCAAACTAACAATACATGTTTTCAAGATGTCCAGGTAGAGGTAAAGATATGGTAAATATCAGAAACCCTCTACAGAAGGTAGAGCTTTTTGGCAGAAGATGCTTTAGATGTATTCTCTGCCAAAAATCTCTGTCCTCTTTTTTTTCCAGCAACCCTTTTTCTAGTGCACACTGCCTGCCATGCATGCACAGTATGGTGCACACTCCTGGCTCATTTCTGGCACCTGTAAGATGCTGAGAATTGAGCCCGGTGCCACGATGATGCGATTCCAGTGAGCATGTGTAGAAGTTATATCATCAGAAGATATACTCATCTAAACTGCTGAGCCGACTTCCTGCTTCTCTGGTCACTTAAGTGTGGTTCCTCCTAAGCTACACACTTGTATAGAACGTGATGACACAAGGATCCTTAGGCCGCTGCAGAGAAGGCAAAGAGAAGACTAGAAACACAAAGCGCACAGCTCATCCCAGTGATGTGCGGTACCTCTTGTTCCGGATGAGGCATTCCCCATCCCCGCCCCCTGCCGGCTGAAGCCCCACCCCCTGCTGGACAAAGCCCCCGCCGGATGAAGCCCCAAACCGTCCCCCAGCTAGCTTTTTCCTCCATAATTCTAGGTGAGGCTCTGCCTTACCTGCTTCCCCTGACCGCACATCCCTGGCTCATCCCTATCATGCATCCTTGTAATCTACATTCGGTGCACGGATGACTCCCTTCTGGAGTGATAGGCTCAAAAACTGTAAAACCAGCACACGATGATCTTCCAAAGAAATTCAAACTTTATTCAACTTGCATCTTTACAAAGAACAACCGCTGACACGTTTCTGCCTTACTCGGCTTCAGTCAGCTATGACTAAGCCAGAGTAAGGCAGAAACACGTCACCGGTTGTTCTTTGTACAGATGCAAGTGGAATAAAGTTTGAATTTCTTTGGAAGATCATCGTGTGCTGGTTCTACGGTTTTTAATGCGGAGAGAAGTTCCAGGGACCGGTCTGAGAACAAGCAGGCTTGACTGATCAGGTGAGTATAACTTTTCTTTTTAGCACCTAGACACAAACAAGCAGTTAACCCTTGCAGTGCGGGCTTAGCCCCACTGCAGGTGTTAATAACATTTTCCCCCAGATTTCTTCTTCAAGCATATTCTCATATTAAGCAGAATTTAAAGAAAAGGGGGAAAAAAACAAGTAATTAGGTAGCATATGGAACCTCTGCAAGCTGCAAACTGGGCAATTTCTGTCTTTTTTTCTGAAGTGTATGATATTTATCAAATACATGATTCTACTGCGCCAAGTGGATATATCTAATATATCAGGGCATGGCTTGTAAACGATCTCCTCCTCTGCATGGTTCAGGTACCTTGTCCATTATTTGCCCCAATGAATTCTAAGTTTGAAAGTCAGAATTCTAAGTTTGAAAGTCAGAATTCTGAATTTAAAAACAGTTTCAAACTCAGAAATTCCGACTTTCAATCTCATACTGCCGTACAATATGCTGCGTATATGCGCATACGCGCGTATTGTCCCGTATACAGCATATGCAAATAAATGGCTCCATACACATAGCTGCGTATGGAGCTGTATATTTGCGCTGCGTAAAGATGCGCAAAAGCAGAATGTAGAGTTCATTTAAATTTCTATTGCCAATGATGCATTCTAGGATGATGCATTCTGGTATACGCACTATACAATTTTGCTCTTGCGTTTTGTGTGAATGAGGCCTTAATATCAGAATTCGGACTTTCAATATCAGAATTCTGTCTTTTAAACTCAGAATTCTGAATTTTAATCTCAGAATTCTGTTTTTAAAATTCCGAGTTTGAACTCAGATTTCTGACTTTTAAACACAGAATTCTGACTTTCAAACTGAGAATTCTGACTTTCAAACTCAGAATTGTTTCAAATTTTTTTTAGCCTGGCCCCAGGGCTCTTCCGTACATACCAAGCAATGAAACAAGAAATAATAACTTATAAATCATTGCAGCAATCTTCTAAGTCGGTGAATCGCATTGTGAACCTAAAATATCAAAAGTTCATATGAAAAAAATAAATTTTAATCTTCGAAAAATAATACGGACAAGTAGACATACGCTTTTCAGCATCTGTTGTTAGCTTTATTATACTGTAGAATCCCACAGAATTCTTTAATTTGTGTTCTAAGAGAATGTAAGCTTGTGGCACTCAGCCACTGTCCATAATTAGAACCACATTATTTTCCATCTTCAGGTTGTATCAGCTGTACCGTGCCAAAGATAATTTTAGAGACGTGTATCTGTATTCTTAAGCAATTTATGCATTAAGGGCCCATCGTCGCGGTAATGCGCACGTTATAATGCGCTTTAACCCCAATATGGGTTTGATTTACTGAAGACAAATAGGCTGTGCCCTTTGGAAGGGGGTTTTCGCGCATCTTAGTGAATGTGGTGAAAATTCTCTTTGGATAGTATACACAATCACGTGCACAGAAAATGGAAATAAAAACAGTATTCATACTTGCACATGATTGGATGATGCAAGTTAGTAGAGGTTCAGCTCATTCACTAAGCTAAGAGAAAATTCCCGTAAAAAGTAAACAGCTTGTTTGCCCAATTGTCAATCAATAATAAACTGTGTTTTATACAAGTCAGTCCAACATCAGAACCCTTCAAATAGCAAAGCAGCACATTAATTTGTCTTGTGACACCCAGTGATTTACAGGCTCTCCAACAGTTGCTATTTTATCAGTAAAGACAGACTTAGCCATCCAAACTCAATGGGCTGTTCACTTTGCACTGAAATGTTCCCTTAGCATAGTGAATGAGCTAAAGCTCGGTTAACTTCCATCATCCAATCATGTGCAAGCAAAAATAATGTTTTTTTCATTTCACTTGTGTGTGACTGTGCAGGGGGTTACATAGTTACATAGTTACATAGTATTTGAGGTTGAATAAAGACATTAGTCCATCAAGTCCAACCTATTAGGATCTCATTCTAGGAGTACCCGTACATGAAGACGTTCAACGGCGGAATGAGGTATGCCGCCGGGTCCCCTCCTCTCTCCTGACACTGTCGGGTTCTCTGTCCGTGACCGAGTGCCTGACTTTTTAGAGGGGGTGACACCAAAATGACTGTCAGTCATTTTGGTGTCACTCCTCCAATGGTGACACCCGGGTGCGAGCTGCACCCACCGCACCCCCCTTGTAAAGCCACTGTGCCTGGGTATTCTTTACAAAGTGAAATTTCACCTCATTTACTAAGCTATGGGAAAATTCCCTTGCAAACTGAACAGACTATTTGCCTTTAGTACCACAAACCTAATGTCTTTGTTCTGCTGTTGCATACAAGGTGATAGTGACTAGGTCTATTGCTACACAAAGTGGTCTGAAGCACAGGGCAATTTTGGATTGATGTGGAAAATTCAGGTAATAATACGATATTGCTGATCCAGGGAATATCCGATTGCCTTATGGGATCAGGAAATATTTTTTTTTTTCCCTTGGAGCAAAATGAACCATGCTTTATAGGGTTTTTTTTTGCCTTCCTCTGGATCAACAGGGGGTAATTGTGGGCATAGGGTTCTGTTTAGGCTTTTCTTCCTTTTTAATTTTTTCATATCTCTATAGGTTGAACTCGATGGACTTGTGTCTTTTTTCAACCTGACTATGTAACTCTGTAACTATTGTAGGACTGCAACAACTAATCGACATAATGGATTATAATCGATTATTGAAAAAATGCCTAACAAAAATTATATAAATAAATAAATAGACAAAAGTGAATGTTGAATAGACATTTCCATAGCAGAAAAAAATTATAGATTACGGGAAAAGACAAACAATAATGATTTATTTTAGTAAATAGCAAGAAGACAAGTACAGCTGCTTTATTCCAAAGAATCATTCCGCATTATGGGAGTTGGTCGCTTACCATAAAAAAGCCTCTGCGGGGATTCTGCAACACCACAAGGTAACATGATATCCCGATTAACAGACGATGGCTCCAAGGTCTGGGTGGCCTTATCCTCACAGTCCATGATCCTGCAGCCGGGGCCGCAGCAATGAGAGAGGGGGAACAGTTGAAAGCGACCCAACATACAGGTGTAAGATGGGCTATGGGTGAACATAGCTGAAGGGGTCTGAGGCTGAATAGGAAACCCAAAGTCATCCGGATAAAATACATCATCGTCCAATTCATCTGAGCTCAGAAAAATATCTTGTTCCATCCTGCTGGAGATAAAGGAATTGGATATTAAAATCTTACAACAAAGACCAATTAAAATGTGTTCTTGCATATACACGTCAATATAAGGTTACAGCACATACACAATTTCATTATGTTTTATATCAAAGATATGAACATTGTACTAAACTCTCCTATGATGCGAGCTAAAAAAAATAACTGTAATAGAACAAACTATTCAGACTTATAAAAGATTATTTATGATTTGGTAGAAATATATCATTTCAGCTATTTGGTCTTACACTCAGTTCTTAAAAAAACATCTACAACAAAATGGAGATTTATACCCAAAAAAAAAATTCTGATAAGATTATATGAGCATTCAAGGTATTTATTGCATGTTATTTACCCGTAAAAGCCTTCCTTGTGTAGACATCTAAAAGCCCTGAGGCCAGGGGCGTCCCGCAGCCGGGTGTCACCCGGAGCAGAGACCGGGTGACACCCCGCTGTGATGTAATTGCACATGACGTCACCACATGCGTGATGACGCCATCGCGCATGCGCGACCATCTAATTGACGCCTGCCGGCGGCCATCTTTGTGATGGATGCCGGCAGAGAGAGGAGGGGACGTTCACCCGTCTGGATGAGGTATGTCGCCGGGTCCTCCTCTCCTGACACTGTTGTGTCCCCCGGGTGCGGGCCGCACCCTCCTTGTGACACCACTGCCTGAGGCTGCTGCTGGGTGCCGCCATGCTAGATGTGATCTCGGCTGCCCTAGCAGACTCAGAGCTGTGACTCAAGAGGCATCTTAGAGTATAGCCCTTCACTCCTATCACTGGCTACCAAAGTTATATAGGGAGGGGAGGGATGAAAGAGCTGGGCCAGCACAGAGAGTAATTAGACACTTCTAGGAGAGTAGAGGGCTATGATGTGTGAGATGGGAGCAAATCACATTTTCTAGCAAGTTCAAAGGCACATAACAAGTGAATAAAAACTATTTATAGAAAGGAAAAAAGCTGCAAGTACCCGTTTCTGTGCCTCTTTTTCCTGTGCTTTTACCTGCCATTTTTTAGGTTGGTTACAGGGTCACTTTAAACTTTAGAGGGACCACAGTGGGAGGGCCTCATAGGTACCCTGTGGAATTCTAAAGCTGACCATACACAAATTTCGATATTTGAGCTGTGTGTAGCCCTGTCAGCACCATTCCATTCAACAAAAGTCAATTTTTCACTGGACTTTTCTCGAAGGAGCCAGGCCGAAAAATTGTCAGCCAAGCAGAGACTGCAACCAATCAGCTGCTGCTGTTGTCAGCATGTAATAGCTGGTTAGTTGATAGTCTGTGGGGCTGAACATGAGAAAACATTGAGTTTATAGTCAGCTTATGGCTGGGTCTTGATGACTCCAACAAGCAAACCCGTAGAGAATAGGAAATAGGCTAACTCCTTAATGGATTATGAAACACATGTGCAGCCTGAAGAGTTTCTGAATGTTTCAGTCTCAGTCTGAGCTGCACGGTAAACAAATGGGGACAGTGATATGGTAGGTACAGTAAGTAAATCATGCTCAATGACTGTGGAGACAAGAGGAGTAGAAAGTAATACATGCACTTCCATTTTGAAAACAAATGAGCCCTTTTAATAAATCTGGGATACTAAGCTCACTTACATGATGGACTACAAACTCACGAGTGGTGACTACTTTACAACACATACAGGGACCATGAACAACAAAAATAGCCCCCCTCCAGAAGGAAGGACAATGTCAGCACCAATTCAGAGATGATTTGAGAATCTACAACTGAGTGATGCATAAAAGTTAGGCCCGAAGCAAAAAAAAAAAATACAGGCGGAGGGCATACATGACTAAGTGAAATGGGGAAACAATTATTAAATAGTAAATTAAGGATGGGTTAACAAGGGGCAAGGTCCTTACCTGATTGGTCAGCTAAAAAGTTTAGGCGGAGCTTCTGCGGTGGTCCGAGGAGGAGGGTCTCGCTGGAGTCATTCAGAGTTCATCGGATGAAGAAAGAACTTCCCGCCCGCCCGAATGCATTGTTGTGGTCCATTTTCTGTCATAGCAGTGGTGGTGTGTTTTTTGGGGTCTTTTGAAGGCGGAGAACATAGGTGATGGTGGTTAAGGTTGGGAGACCTGTCTTGGTATGGGTCCTCAAGTCATGGTGATATATGGTAGTCACACAGGCAATTGAGATATGGAGGTGTCTGCGGTCGTTGTGCAGGTTGTCCCCGAGGCGGTGTGGTGCGGCTGGGGGCCTAACGGATTCAAGGGGTTCCGCAGAGACACCATATCCAGTAATAATTTGGGCCTTCAAAAGACCTTAAAAAATCTCAGGGTGAATTGTTGCAATTTTTCTGTAAAGTTTATTGTTAATTTGTATAATAAAAGGGTGGCTATGGCCATTTAACAACAGCAAGAATTGTGGTCTATTTTATTGGGTTGAAGAGGGAGGTGGGTGGTTATGGCAGTCTTTGTAACTAGGTAATTGGGACATCAGTTCTACATTAGTCATGTATCTTATTTTTGTTACCAATTAATGTACTTGAATGTATTTGTAAGATTAAACTCCTGAGTTTAGTGTCACTTTGAAGCTGGAAGGGGGACAATTCCCATTGTTACATTTTTACAAATTGACAATGACTGGGTCAAACACACACACACACACACCTGTTTCTCTGCCTTATCATTTTTTTCCCCTCACTTTCTGGTTTACATTTTATCTAGACTAGTCCCCATCTGTCCCTTTGTCTCTTGCATCACTGTTCTCCAATCTATTTCCATCTGTCTCACTGTTTACTGCTTGTTTTTGTTGTTATGTTGCTCTTCCAATAGAGATTCTGTCACCTTGCCCTGCAAAATCTGGGCATACCTACTTTATATTTGTTATATGTTACCATTCACATAGCAGAACTTTAAAGCCTGTCCCTGGACAAACCAAAAACTACAGTTGTAGTGGGGCAACCCCTGCACTGCAAAGGTTAACATGGTATTAAAGTCAACAAGTTTTTAAGCTATTTCTAATGCTGATTAAATCTCGTACAATGGATGCTGTTTCTTGATTTTTAGAAGTTTAGGTTTCTGTAGAGTCAGCTGGTCCCCTGAACACTGGCCCTGATTTCCTGTTTTAGGGTTGCTCCTTTCCCCATGCAGGGTCCTATGCATGGCCGCTGCTAGACTATTTTGCGCCCTAGGCAAGACCAGCTACGTGCATCACCCAGCCCCTTTCCCGCCTTGCAACCCCCGATCCTCCCTCACGCAGCCCATTCTCCTGCAGGGAGCAATAGTCAGAGTGCTACTGGCTATTTTAATTTGAAATAGCCAATAGCAGACTGGCTATTGAAACCCCACCCACTGAGCAGAGGAGCAGACCTGAGAGAAAGTTGTCTCAGCTCCACTCCTCTGCTTAGTGGGCGGGTGCAATAGCAAGCCTGCTATTGGCTTTTGCTATTTGAAATAGATGGGGGCGGGGGGCGCCGTGGGGGGTGAGTGGTCAAGGCTGCGCCCCAGGCAAAAGTGCGCCCTCGGCGGCTGCCTAGTTTGCCTAGTGGCAGCACCGACCCTTGTCCTATGGGGTCACCCTTGTGTGCTAGTAAACTGTGCGTGTCTCTACAACCACACAGGAACAGCGAAGCAAAGCAATACCCTGCTCCCAGCTCCTCCCTCCTCAAAGCTCCAAGCGTGTAGATGGACAACTGCTGGAGTCTGCTTTGTCCCTTGTGATCTTGTACTAGGGATGCACCGATACCAGTTCAGATATCAGTGCCGATACTTGGCATTTTCATGAGAACTACCAGTGTTGCAGCGGTTGCAGCTGGGACCTGGCTCTGGTGCTCCACCACTGTCCTGAAATCATTAGTCAATATTGTTTTAGAAAAACTGTCACATGACAATGAACAAAAATGTATCAGTACTTGTATCTGTGAGTACTTGGACAAGTATCAGTACTTGTACTTGTACTTGCAAAAATGGTATCGGTGCATGCCTTATATATGTTTATAAAAACAAAATCATACATTAAAACAGAGATGTACAAATCCCAGTAGCTCCGTGTGCTCCTTACAAATGACAGCTGCCTCCTAACTTTTGAATTTTTCTCTAGTCTAGCCTTGGAGCTCGAAAAGTATCTGTACTTGTACTCGTGCTTGTACTTGTACCAAGTACGGTACCTGGTATCGGTGCATCCCTATCTTGTACTGGATAGGAAGTTCAAGGAAGCCGAGCTGAGAGAGTTGCAGCTGTTTGGAAACATAATGACTGTAAGAGCTTGGGCAGACTTTAAAGAAATGCTTTCCTGAATAATGTATATTTGATCTGGATTCATTATTGAAAAAAGTTTGAGTGCTCGAGTAAAGCACTTTTACTTGCTTGATCCCTGCTCCACCGGTGGTGAGTGTTCTACTCTTACCCCTCCGCTCCGGGTGGTGGACTGTCCCTTACGTCTAAGGAACCTGCATTAAATGTGATGATGTCAATGGTCCTTAGACCACTGGAAAACAATGGAGAATAGGCTGTGGGGACCAGTCTAGCAGCTCAGAGAGTGCTGGTTGGAACGGGGATCAGGTAAGTATAACAGCTTTTTCATGTCCCCTAGGCAAAACCAAGCAGTTAACCTTTGCAGTGGGGCTGCTCCCACACTGCAAGGGTTAACTGGTTTTCTGGTTTGCCCAGAGACAGACTCTAAAAATGATTTAGAAATGTACTGCTTACTTTCATAAATGCTCTTTTCTGAAAACTCCTAGACTGAGATCCTACGTAGTTCTCACTTGCTATGCAATGTTTATTAGGGGGCAGGGAAGTTGCGGTTACCTTGATTCTTACCGTCTGTACTGTGCTGATAGAATTTATTATCAGTTGTTAACTAACTGTGCAGGACAGTCTGTCCTAAAAAAGGGTTAAAGATCTCAAAAAACCGCATGACCCTCCAGTCTGTTCCTTATCCCTCCACTGCCATGTTTTCAAAGCAATAGAAGCTGCCCATAGAGTCCAATGTATAATCCTGCTCCAAAGAAACAATTTAAAAGGCAAGAA